CCCCAAAACCCCAAAACCCCACTCGTAAATTTAACTGAAATTTAAGGAATTTTAAGATTCAATGAAAGTAAATAACAATAAAGTTTTAACAAATAGAACTTTGATTGTAATTAAATCTCTAAGATGAATTTAAAGGCATGTCTCACAAAAATTTAATTCTTTGAGATTTTCAGTATTCATTCAGTAAATATTTGTTTTCTGCAATAAAATTTTGCAATTCTTCTTTTGATATTCTCCCATCGCTATCCTTGTCAAGAGATTTTAGAAGATTAGCTAAGTCTTCATAGCTTAGAGTTCTTTTGCTATATTCTTTGATTAATTAAGTTCCTGAGCTTGAATCGATATATCCTTTTTTATCACTGTCATATTTAATCCATATTTTTTCAAATATTTCCCTTTATTGAGGCTCAAGGAACCTTGTGAAGGCATCTTTAGGGCATTTTCTTTAGTTTATCAAACTTATTTCTACCTCTACTTCTTCATTTAAACCTAATAGTCTCATTAACATTAAATAAATCTCTGTTTTAGTCAAAAGTTAATCGCCGTTAAGATCTGTTTTCTAGAACACTTCCTCAATTTGTGATTCATCCAAAGTTAAATCATCTATTTGTTGATAAAAATCTTTTATTGCTCTCAAAGAATCTTATTTATTCAATTTCCCTGATTTATTTGGATGATATTTGAACCAACTCCTATTGACAAATGCTTTTACATCTATACTAGTTTCTTAGAAGAAAGTTTATGAATTTATTAACTATTCTTTTAAATAGTCTTCATCAAAGAACTCAGCATCGCTATCCTCTTCTTCTTCTTCCTCCTATAATGATTTTTCCTTTTTTTGCTTAGGAATGATTACGTCAAGTTCTTACTAAATCCGATCAAATCTTTTCTTTTGCTCATCAAATTTAAGAGTTGTGTCTCTCAATTAAATCTTTTGACTTTCAATGATTAGGTCAATTTTATCTGAGGTTTTATTAAGCACTTATGGAGATTAACCATTTTATTACTAGAGCATTGTGATAATTTTTTAGATTTAACCTTCCCAATCATTTCCTTCTTTTTTTAAAAGTGGTGTTACATAGTGAAGAAAACCACTTTTACCCTTTTTTCTATTCCAAAATTGAATTTCCTCTTGCTCAAGGATCATTTAATTAAGTTCATGGAAATCTGATGGAAGTATGTCAGACATAACTCTGGCATAGGTATCAGACATTATTGCAACTAACATATTTAGCATAATCAATGGTATTAATACTGAACCAATAATAAATAGAAACCAGTTAGCATTTGTGTAATTATCAGTGTCAAAATCTCCGAATGTAAGTCTGTAATTATGTTTTAAAGCATCAACAAGACTGATGTTATTAAGCACTTCAAAACTTAGCGATATTCCTAAAACTGCACCAATCAAAACAATCATGAAAGGTATCATATCATAGATTACCTATTCTAAGAGTCTAATGAAAATTCTTGTCTTTTAAATTAGTCGCAAGAAGGATAAAGCTCTAACCCAAGATAAGAAATTAAGAGCGCTTAGAAGTTACAACATTGATTAGCTTTTGTACCATTCTTCTTAGCAGAAAGCTTTAAAGATAAAAATGACTAGGAAAAGAACTCTAAAAAAATCGAATAAATTCCAAAAGTCACTAAGGTATTTCAATTGGTTCAAGTAAATTTAAAGAATCTCAAAGCACATGAAATAGAAACCAAATGCAATTAAGAAATATAGATAAATTTCGTTATAGGTTTAGATGAATGCAAATAATACTAGCATATAGAAAAGATAAATTAAGCCGTTTGTAAAGACTATTTTCTTGATCAAGTCCCATTTATATGCCAACAAAGCTTAAATTGTTTCTGATCTAAGTGCTGAAAGTTCAATTTCTTAAAGAGTTCTATGAAAATTGATGCTAGATATAGAGCCTGGCTGCATATTAAATTAGATTTGAATGCTCTTGAATACTAAAGGCTCATCATTTCCTTTAACTTCTAATATCATGTTCTTAGCATCAGAAACAGTGATAAAGTTAGTTTAAGAGTTATGATATTTTATAGGGTCGCTAACAAAGGTTCCAAATGAGGGAAGATACTGAGCTACTTATTCTTTCACAGATGAATCAAAGAATTCCTTTAGATTTGAAGGAGCAAATTTAATTAACTTGATTAATTTTTCTTCAGATAATTTATCATAGAGATGAGACCTCTTCATGAAATATTCTAGAATAATTGTTGCTGTCTCATATGATTTTTTTTGTATGGCATAATCTAAAGGAGTATTTTCATTGTAATCCTCAATAAAAGGACTACCCATCCTCAATAGTTTTTGGACGAATTCAGCCTAATTATAATAAGCATAGAAATGAACAAGTGTTGTCTTAAATGGCTGTATTTAACTTTTATAGAGAAAAGGAAGATATTTTTTCTCATCAAGATTCTTTTTACCGACATTACCAATAAAAATTTTCATCAGATTGTTAAATTTTCCTGTAATTTTTATATCAGATTCATTTACTTCTTAAGCAGTTTGAGTTACTTTTTCTCCTTATTCAGTGCTTGTAATGGCATAATCATCAGAGAAACTTGAAAGAATCTAATCGGACCACTATTTGTAAAGACCGTCATGAATAATTGCTTGAACGTATCTTGAACTTGAAGTCACAACTCCAAATTCTTCTTATATAGTAATAAGAACTTTCCAATCAGTTGTTTCCCAGATAATTGACTCGGATTTTGACCTTGTGATCAAGTATTTACCATCCTTTGTAAAGCCAACAAAGTTTAATCTTTCTGAATGTTTGTTTAGAATTCTTAGTATTTTGCCCTCTATTATATTGCATACCCAGAATGAGCCATTATATTAATTAGTCTGAATGACGGTAAAGCCATCTGGAGATAGCTCATAATAGAGCCAACCTGCGTCATTAAGGATGTCAAGCTTCTTATATTCCTAATTTTCATCAAGACTGAGATCATATTCATAAATATGTGGCCCTAATACATTTGCATATAAGCGTTATTCATCATGTGAGAGAATAAGATAGAGATAATAACCATCTTCCTTGGAAAATCTTAAGAGTTCTTATTTAGATTACAAATCCCACTTGTAGATGTTTCTGTAAATTAATGTATACATAATTTTATCATCTTTAGTGATAACCACGTCTTGTACTTAGCCTACATGATTAAATGTATGGATTTATTATTATTAAGAACAGGACCATTACAAAAGTTCACTTTATTCTTTTTAAAAGAAAATGTACTCAGAGTCTCTAGTGCCGTTCAATGCTCTAAGATTATATGCAAATTCGCAATTAATTTTGTGTGATTCAATTAATTATCTACTCTTTAGGTTCCAAATCTTTAAAGATGAATTGCCAATCATTGTCACCAAGAATTCATTATTTGGAGTTACGTAGCAATTTGAAACATTTTTTAATTCAACTCTGATTCTCAATGCATCCGCATTATCTTCCAAGATCCAATATGCCTGAATTGGATGATCTTTACTACTCGCCAATAGAATATCATTATCATCACTTAAGTGAAGAGATCTTATTTGTAATTTAGTTTATAGTTTTGCAAGGAAGAGGTAATCATGCATGGACCAAATATTTACAATTTTATCGTGTGATCCAGAAAAAAGTAATGTTTCATCATCTGATAAAACTATTGACTCAACACTATCTTCGTGAAGAATCATTGTTGCCAAGCATTCTTGTTGAATCCAATCCCATATCTTAATCTTTCTATCTCTGGAGCAAGTTATAACTTTCTTAGAATCCTTTGTTACAACTATTTCGTTAATATAGTTAGTATGCATAGAGGTCATATTCTAGACTACTGAGCCATCAAACAAGGAAAACATGCACACCCCTTTATTATTTTCTCCTCTTATAAAAATGTTCAAGCAGTCTTCAGAAATGACAAATAACTTGTTGGGGTCTTCTCTAAGCACACCAGGAGATAAGTCAAGTTTAGTTTACCAAGACTCTTCTGACTTAATAGTATTATATATGAAGAGCATTTCGACTTAATCAATGTCAACATATCCTATTAAAAATGTCTCATCTCTTGATAACTTAAGATGAGTAATGGGTTACCCTCTGTCTATTGATCTTATTATCTTCTAACTAGATCTTGAAATATTTTTAGAGGGGAACTATAAAACCTTGCCGTTTCTCAGACTTACATACAAATTTTTTTCATCAGATTTAAGTGCTTTTACACCGCTTTTTAGATAAATTTATTAAAGTACTTATTAAGTATTTGGATCTCGACTTTCAAGCGTACCATTATTATATCCAATGAATAGGTTTGTTCCTTTTGGACTTTCGTAAATAACAGTTATTCCTTTCAATTCTTCGCTGTGTACAATCTTTTTGCTAAGCAAACTCCAAAGTGTAAGCTTCCCCTCTGAATAGTTTAAAAGATTTCCACTTCTTGTCAAAATAAATAGTGTAGTACTTCCTTCGATTTCTTCACCAACTTATATCTTATCGCCTATAGTTTAAATACTGTTGAAAATATCATTTATAGGTGATTCTCATGTAATTTTTTCCATTTGTCCAATTATATCTATTCTTAAATTGAACATTAATTATTAAGAAGAGGCTCAGTAAGTCCTTGATCGGTCATAACTTTCTTTATTGTGGGTAATCTTTTATTAATATAATTCTATCTTAATCAAAACTTAAATATTAGTTGGAACCATTAATAAATTAACTACTAAATATTAAGAGAGACATAAACTCCTAAAGATTATTTCCTGCTCTCAAGTAAAAGAAAGAAGGACATACTAACTTTTAATTTTGGGTAATAAATTGAACTCTAATAAATTAAACTAACTCTTTTAGTTCTGGAGAAAGATAAGTACTATTCAAGTAGTCATGATAATCTCAATAATTGATGAAATGGCTTAGTGAAAAACTACAGTTTAAATAGATATTATTTTGGAAAATATAGAAAATAGAATATTTTACCACCTTTCATCCTTATAAATGACAGAGATAAACTATTGTAACCTCCTATATATTTTTTTCATCAAACTGTACAAAGGAAATCATAACTTTGGGAAGTATTATTGCAACAACTACTTTTTGAATTATAAAAATAACTTAATCACATAATGAAATCTGCATACAATATTTAATTAATTTTGATTAAATTCATTCATCTTTTTTAGTTTAATTGTGCTTGCTGGGGTTTTGGGGTTTTGGGG